TAAAAATATCCCTGTAGTTAGTTATAACAACAAACACATTTTTCATAAGCCGAGCTTACATGTATCAGTAGACCTACAAGGCTAAAACTCTGTGCTAATTTGCTTTTTGAACCTTGTAACGTGCTCAGTCAGAGCTGTCATTATCACCCAGTTACGAGGACACCTCGAATCACGTGGTTTCATCTGCACGTGCTACAAGCACACACTGTTGTTCTTGTTGCTGCTGGTGGTGTGTGACCATGAGTCATTGCACAGGGTGACACCAACCCTAGTGACGTCACTGCTCTTCAGAAGCAGATTGTCAGGCCTTTCTTTCGTGGTGCCACTGGGTGGGGTTGAACTGCCAACCTGTTAGTAGTCCAGTGCAAACCGTTTGTATATGTATATATACTTTAAAACTGCTGGGATTGGCCTAATGATAGTCTGGTTATTTCTTTAATAATATTGGTATATGCCCTTCAGATTAATTAACTCTCTGTTTCATCTGATGTTCCTTTAGTTTATTTGTTTTTTGACTCTTGAAATTGCATAGAAAAACCTTACGTGGTTGAGTAGGGGATCTCTGAATGAATGTCAGTGGAGGGTTGTCATCTAGAAAGTTTGGAAGTAGACCTAATTAAGGTGACCTAGAATGGGTAATTTAGAAATTTTTATTTAGTTGATTGATAAAGCTCCGAAATTTCCTCTTGGTGTAAAATTAGGATATTAGCTTTTATAAGAACGACTCTAGGAATGTAAAAGAATACTCTTAATAAAGGACTTGGAACAAGATTTCCCAAGTGTTTTTGTGGAATGCAAGGTGTTGTGGGGGAATAAAAGGAAATGCCCCACAGCCATGTTTTTTAAAACATTGGTTTATTATCTCTTAAAGAAAACTGTAAGCTTTGTCCAAGTAGGACTCCTGTTGTCTTTCTCACCATTTTGTCTCCAGTGCCTAGCGCAGTGTCTGGCACATAGTAGGTTTCTCATAAGTATTTGTTGAATGAATGACCTTCAGGACTTCTCAGAGCCTTTGTCTTTATAATGAGCATTGTGGCCCATTAAAATGTCTGCCGCCTTTCCTGATCTTTCTGGGCTAGCGAACTCTTTTCTTGAGCATTTTACCAGACCCAGGTACCTTGAAATACCCTCTGCCATTTTCTAGCATTCAGTAAAATAGATAACAACAAAGTTTTAAATATAGCTGAGCACTGAGTGAAGTGTTCGTGTTCTGTGGATATTGGAATGTACAGAGTGCCGAGGCAGGAGGGATGCTAGGCATCCTTGTTTGCATCTACAACCTTGGGCAAGTTGCTTGACCCTAGAAGACTCAGTGTACTAGTCTATAAAGTAGGAATAATAGTAATAATAATGTTTATCTCACTAGTTGTTGGGAAAGTAAATTGCATTTAGTCCCACTTTCGAAAATTTTATCTGTGTATGTAGAGTGGCACACTTGGCTAACCCAAAACCCAACCTGTTGCCAATGAGTGGATTCTGACTCATAGCGACCCTATAGGACAGAGTAGAACTGCCCCATAGGGTCTTCAAGGCTGTAATCTTTACAGAAGCAGACTGCCACATCTCTCTCCCACGGAGCAGCTGGTGGGTTCGAACCACTGACCTTTCGGTTAGCAGCTGAGTGCTTAACTACGGAGCCATACTTGGCTAAACACTCAATAAACCTTAGCCATGATCAAACAATTAAGTGATGAATTATCCCAGTTAGAACAGGTGATTGTGGGGTATTGAAGTTAAAATGTGCTCAATCTGTCTCTCTTCCTCCTTCTCTTCAATAAATATTGGAATGCTTATAATGTGCCAGGCACTGTTGTTAATTCTGGGGGAGACGTGGTGAACACGGCAGGCGAGGCCCTTCCCTCTGGACATATAGGGATTTCTTTAATGCAATGTGTTTACGCTGTCACTGTCCCTTAAAACATAGAGTGAATTTAATTGTACACAATTCACTTAAAGTTAATTGTTCCGAGGTCGTGAGTGATCCACCCCAAAGAGTCACTTTTTGTCTCAAAGCAAGTAAAGCAGGATTCATAGGTCGTCTTTTAAAATAAAATAATGAAATTAAACTTCATGTTACTGTTGTCGTTAGGTGCTGTCGAGTTGGTTCCAACTCATAGCAACCCTATAGGACAGAGCAGAACTGCCCCATAGGGTTTCCAAGGAGGGGCTGGTGGATTTGAACTGCCCACCTTTTGGTTACCAGCCGAGCTCTTCACTAGATAATGTAAATCAAATAGAAAGTGGCCCACGAACCACTTCATTGCTTCCTTTGTGACCAGTTTTTTACGCTCACGGTACCGGCTGCCAGATTTAGCAAATAGAAATACAGAACACCCAGTAACATTTGAATTTCAGAGAGATAAAGAATAATCTTTTTTGATGTAAGTATATCCCAAATAGTGCATGGGACATACTTATGCTAAGGAAAAACAAAACCAAAAAAACAGCTGTTGACCAGACATTCAGATTTCACTGGTGTTCTGTATTTTATCTGGCTATGCTACCGCACCAAACCAGAGTCCCAGCCTCCTGCGCAGGAGAAGGACAATTGCCTGCAACGAGTCAACGTTTGAAGCCACCTTTGTAGAAAAGAGAGATGTTACGCAATCAGAACAGAAACCTTGCCTTCTATTTAGAATGATTTGTAACTGTTCCTGCCTGATTGCCAAGTGTTTCTAAATTAAAAGCCATTAATTAAGGCCTTATATAGATACAAAAGATATGCAAGGAGTGCTTTGTAATTCCAGCTCACTACTTCAGGTGAGAGCTTTTCAAATTACGTGGACCACTGGAGCCACCTGCTTGACTAAATGCTGTGCAGCCCGCGCAGCTCATCGTGGCTCCACGGCAGTGCCCGCGTTGTTACTGATTTTTCTCATTTCTCCAGGGCAAATACTAATTAATGGATACAATTCACAGCTGATTAGCTGTAGTTTCTTCAGTAATTACATTCACATACTAACTGTTCAGAAGAGGGTTTCTAACCCAGTTTTTATTTCACTCTAAGCTTAATTTGTTTTTTGAATGTTTTAGGCCCTTGGTTTAATAGCCATTTTATTTTTCTTTGTTGTTTTAGGTGCTATTAGATAATAAGTGAGTTTAATCTTAAAAAAAAAAAAATACTCCCTGATAATGAGCTGTTTGCTTTAGATGGATTTCTAATTCCCCAACAAAACCTACATTTAAATAACGTTGAAGTCATGATGCAGGCGGGAGGGAGACTTGGGAAGCCAGGATTGGTGCTTGGAATTCAAGTTATCATACACATCCAGCAGAGCATTCAGGACAGAGGCCCCAAGTTTAGGGTCATTAGTTCATCAAAAATTCCATGAAAGAAACCCATACTTTTTCTTGGATACATTTAACAGAAGAATGGGGAAAGTGTGTGTGTGTGTGTGCGTGCACACAGGCCTGCGTGCACGGCACATTCATTTTTGATACCACATGCCTTCCAAGAAACCAGAAGGTTTTCTTAAGCGCTAACAAATACATCTTTCAGAAATCCCTATAAAGATACTTATCCAAAAGAATCTGAGCCTTTCTGATGGCCCATTGTATGGATGTGTATCTATTTAGGTGTCCAAGACAGGCTGGGATTTTGCTTCTGTAGACCATAGCCGTGTTCTCGAACCATTAGAATCTGTTTAGTTCTTGGATTCCTGACATCATAAAGGATAGCATGTCAATTCTGCTTCCATACACGAATCCTACAGGTTCTGACTTGGGGGCTAAGAACCCCTTGGAAATAAGTGTTTGTTGGCTTATTGAGAGGAAGTTCATCTGAGTCTTCCATATCTGTAATCTAGATTCGATTCTATATGTTCTCCATATCTGTCAGTGTACCTGTGTATCTCTCTCTCTATCTGTTGGGAAAAATTGTACCTTTTACTTTAAATAATTACTGGCTCTGTTTAGTATTTCTATTAGAGAATGAGCATATACATTTTACCCTTTGAAGACCAAACCTGTGTTTTATTTGATGCATTAAAGCGGGGGCGGGGGAGGGGATACACTTTATAAAAAGAAGGGCATTCCTTTATACCATTTAGAAATCATGAAAATAATACAGCTCTAGATAATTATGCTCCCAGAGTGTTTCCATATTGCCAGACTGATAGGATGTTCAAAGCAACAAAACTTGCCTCCTTACACCATTTGAATCTGAAAATACATTTCTGCCAAAATCCAAGTTTTACATTTTGATAACAGGTCCCCAAAGTAAAGAGCTTATGTCTGAAATGCTGATACAGTCTTATTTGTGATGGTCTGAATGGGCTATTGTGTTAGGGAATTAAATAAAAATTGCTGTGCTCGTAAGATTTTGCTTATTTTTTAAACCTCTTTGCGCTTAGTGTTACATCGAGAGATTAAATATCACTGTTTTCAACAGCGCCGATGGCTATAGATACCGTTTTAAGCACTGTTTGGAGATTTTAAAAAAAAAAAAATTCTTTGGTCTTATTATTTATTTATATTCCTGCCACACCCCATTCACTAGAAAATAGAATTGGAGTCCTGGGAATTGCATTTTATTCCCTTTAATTCGCATTTTCACCTACCCACCTTTGTGACATCTGTTCTTGAAAAGTAAGCTGTGAAATCCCAACATGCTTTAAAAATGTGTCAGATTTTCTTGGAAACTCTTTTTCTTCTAACATTGATGAAAGCCCGTTCAATAAACAGCAAAAACTGGTGACTCGTCGGCCAAATGCTCGTATATCCCACCCCCACCCCCCCCGTTACGTAGTCATAATGAGAAACAAAATCATTTTCTAGAATTATTTAGTTAGCTTCACTCTGCTCTTCCTTTTCCAAAGGAACTGGCCAACAGTACTGCATAGCACCTTGGAAGCTTTGTCATGGTTCGTGTTTGGTCTGAGTAGAACTACCCTTTATCCAGTAACCACAGCATACTTTCCAAATCACGTCTGAATGTTACGTAAACGTAATAATGCTTTATTATGCTGCATACTTACGTACAATGATCTGCTTTCTTGTAGTTTGGAAATAACAGCAACTACATGAACATGGCCGAAGCTAACCACACGTTGTTTGCAGCCAGTGAGGTGGGTGTCTGCCTTTCTGTGTGTTCCTGTTTTGTATGCTATTTGAATAATTTAATAGGCTTGCAGAGAAAAGCAAAGTATCTAAGTTTTCTATCTTCTATGGCACGGAGTAGTGACTTTGGAGAAGATAAGAAAAAAGTCTATTGGAAAAGAAAATAACCTGACAAGTCTTTATAAGCTGTCCATAGGCTATAACTAACATTAGTAACTTCACACATTTCCTGATGGAGAAAGGTATATGCAAACAAAAACACACGTGTGAGAAACTGTGTAAACAATACGTGCACGGAAACAAACTGTGTTGGCATCTAGGCGGAGAAGGGGTTATTGTGGAAACCAGGCTGAAAGTGACTTTAATAGAAAATGTTTTAACTTCATGTCTATAGGGAGAATTTAAGGCATTGTAATTTGGGAAACGTTGTGACAACAGTATTCTAGTTTCTTGGGTTTTGGACGTGGATGATGTGAAATGAGTATTTTCTTTGTTGCTTGATCTCAACAGCCTAGTACAGTGCCTGGCATGCGGCAGGTGCTCAGTAAGTACTTGTTGAGTGAATGAATGAATGGGCATACTCCAACACCTGGTCTTAGATGGGAAAACTGGGTGATGGAATCTAAATGCAGCACTGTGTTGGCTCTGGGTTTGTCTTCAGTTTATGGGTGCAAATGGGATAAACATCTTGTTGCTGTTTTTACTGCCGTCCCTCCTTATTGACTTAGGGCTGTTGGTCTGATTTCATAGGCCTGCCCTCCAGAGAAACCTTGATCTTGACTAAATCAAGAAAATGGTTCCCTAAAAAATGGTTGACTGTGTGAGATATGAGATTTTGAAAACAAGAACAAACAGAAGTGAAATTGGTCCAAATGGAACATTTTCTCTTGCGGGTCATATAGTAGAAAGTCTTCATTTTCCAAATATATTCAAATACAGGGAGCTGAACTAGTTTGACCCCAGAGAATGAAAATAATAATGGCTGCGTAAGTGATCTTGGTACAGGGAAGCAAGTGATAAGAAAGAAATTAACTTTGAGAAATGATTGGAGTAAGTGGGGACTCAAGAATGAAGGGTAGTCTTAGATTGATCATTTTTACAGTGACCATCATGTCTAACCAAGAAGACAGCTTAGCTAAGGGAATATTGTTTGGCACTGGCTCCTGTGTTGTTTGTGATAATGAACACAAACCCCATCTGTAAGGGCAACATGATGTTTCATTCTGTAGGATTTTTCTCCCTACATTTGAATCAAACATTGATGAAGGCTCCACTGCCAGCAGCTGTTCAGAGACAATTTAATTCCAGCTGTGATAATTCACCGTGTCAGACATTGGCTGTTACATGTTGATACAACAGTTCTCCAGATTTGCATTTTTATCAAAAGGAACAAATGTTTTGAACATTTCAGTACAGATGGTATTTAACCATGTACGTACTACTACTTTAACATGTTGAAGGTAAACACTGAAAAGTCAGTATCTGTAAAAAGTAGTCACATAAACTCTGAATGATTCATCTGATATGGGTCATACGGCGTATTTGCAAAAACCAGGGTGTTCTTTTTTTTACTGTTGCCCTACATGGTTGTTCTGATAATCTCAGATAGCCACTGTTTTGGGTTACTCTTTAAGGAATGCTTAACTTTATATTTAATATATTACCTGTCTTTAAAGGTGGTTTAACATTTGAGCATTCTGTTAGTTATATATTATAATTTTATTGTATTGTTTTATTAGGTTGTGATAGAGTAACATACTAAATTCTAACTTAAAATTATCTTTAAAAAAAATTACACTATAAAGATGTATTATATATGATAGCTGTCTATTCCTTAACAAAAATAAAAGTGAAGACCTCCTTAATTTTGATTGCCTTGCACGGGAAGTGCTTTATGTTAGAGTTTAAGAGGTAATCTTATGTAATGATTTCACTGTATCTTTTCATGAGCAAAAAATAAAGCCCAAGTAGATGCTAATGCACTGCATTATACCATGTGCCTAATTTCCCAATCACTGCATTAAACGTAAATTTATTTGGTTTTTTAACATTTTAATGAGTGCAAACTAATTCAGGAAGCCTTTAGGTTTGAGCGCTGCAAAGTCTAAATTGTGCCTGAAACGAATTCCCTTCACATAGATATTGCCCTTCACATAGATAACACCGCAGGGACGAGGATACTCTTTGAGTTTGAAATTCACACATTTGCTTTCTGTTTTCGGTCTGTGTCGCGATTACCCTGACCATTTTTAAAGTACCTTAAATATTTATTGAAATAATATTTCAAGTGTTAATTACAGTGGTAATGAAAACAGCCAAATGCCACATATCAGGAATGAGTGTTTATCCGTATTGTTAATGTGATATGTTAGATTTCATTAAGCAGTAATGGGGTAGCAAATGAGTCACAAATTACAGTTGCATCTGTTACTAGACTACGTTAGTGCCAAAAGAATGGCAAATGCAGCCATAGGGTTACGTTCATTAGCCAACCACGTTTGTGGCCACTTCATCCCTTTGTGTTCGAGAATTCGGGGTACCACAGTAAGAAATAGACATCTTTCGCGGGGTGGGGGGAGGGTCACTATTAACACAGGCATGTCAGAAAATCTAGTATTTAATGCCAGCTTTCAGGTGTGTTTGAGTATATTAAATTTGCTAAGAACCTCAAGATGTTCAATTGTCCTGCCATAGCCTCCCATAGCCTGGGACCTTGTTATTTCTGGCGAGATACAAATAATGACAGCTGACAGATTCTATATACAAGAAAAAAAATTGTTTTCCCCTTGAGTTTGTCCCCATTTTCTCTTAAGTAGGTATTACGTTATATTATCAATGATGGTTTGAAGAATGATGATTTTCATCCCTTAATTAGCTCTCTTAGCTGATTGTAGCAGATTCAAATGATCTGGCATCGATTCATTCTTTCAAATACTGTAAATAATAAATGAAGTCTACTTTGAACCCCTGAGCTAGGAATAAAAAATATCTGAGCGACCCCCCACCCAGCTCCTTCACCCCACCAAACAAATACTCTAGACCTCGCACTCACCCCCGAAAAATCCAAGTTCTTTTTAAGAAGAATGGTTAGTGTGGTTGAGCAAGGCAAGCCCTGATTTTCATGAAAAGGCCCTATTTTGAAACACTGTCTTTAATAATCTAAGTAGCAGTGAAGAAAAACAATGCCTTCAGATTTACTTAGATCTTGAGAATTAGCTCTTGTCCAAGTAAAGTGAATGACATCAGTGTGGTTAGCATATCTGTATCAGTACAACTCTATGCTCATGCGTATAGATAGTCTCTGAAAGTTGAAGACTGGTAGAAAGTGTTCTGGTGAATATATATCAAAATGTTAATATAGAAGAAAACACCCACCCATTATAGTTTAAAAAAAGCACTGAAGCCTTTTAATATGAGCGACGATAATTCTAATGTAAGATGTTGTATTACAAACAGTAACAGTTTCCATTGAAGCATTCTTTGCACTTGGGAATATACCAGTCAGGGAATTAAAAACCAAACCACAAGTTTATTATTACTTGTTTTATATGTTGCAGCGGAAAGTAAATATGTGTAACGTTCGCTTCTGGATTAATGTTGTGTGTACACCACAAAATCGTCAGCATTTTATGAAGCATGCGGATAATGTAAGCAGTTTGAGCTGTTTCATAACATATCAATAAAGTGGCAATTTGTTATATAGCCAAATCTGATGTCGCTGATGCTCCAACTAACAACAAAGACAGATGTTGCTAATTAAGTACACATTAAAAAACTGTTAATACTGATACTCCATTAAAACCATATGATAATGAGACTTAAATCTTTAATCAGAATGATCAGCAAAACTTTATATATGGAAATCTGTGTTTAAGATGTTTTCATTTGAGAAGTAAATATTTGGCCTAGATATGCAGTGTTTTCACACAAAGCTTTTTTCCCCTGCCCCCACCCCCACCCCAAGGAGAAATAAGGTATAGGGACAGAATATGAAGATTATCTGTATTTTTTTTCCTTTCAGCAGACGTTCCATACACCAAGCCTTGGGGACGAGGAGTTTGAAATCCCTCCCATCACGCCTCCTCCAGAGTCAGACCCCGCCCTGGGCATGCCCGATGTTCTGCTACCCTTTCAGGGCCTCAGCGACCCATTGCCTTCCCAGGGAAGTGAATTTACACCCCAGTTTCCACCTCAAAGCCTGGACCTTCCTTCCATTACGATCTCAAGAAATCTCGTGGAACAAGATGGTGTGCTTCATAGCAGTGGATTGCATATGGTAGGTACCGCGTTTCTTGCTTGAAAAACAGATAAACCCATTGCTGTCAAGTGGATTCAGACTCTTAGCGACCTTATTGGACAGAGTAGAACTGCCCCATAGGGTTTCCAAGGGGCGGCTGGTGAGTTCGAACTGCTGACCTTCTGGTTAGCAGCTGAGCTCTTAACCACTGTGCCACCATAGTGTTCTTTATCACTTGCACTTCTCATGGTAAAGATCAGACAGTCCATGTTCTGAAATGTGCTTCTGCCTGTGGGTATGTGGATTGTTATCCCTAGTGCCCTTTAAGTGCAGGAACTAGATGAATCCCTGGTGTTGAACAAGAGGGTGTTGGCTGGCTGATAGTCACATGAAAGAGGAGGTGAATCTTGTGTCCCTAAGATCCTTCTCATTTGAAATGGTTTTTAAGAAATCTGATTCATTGGTTTGGAAGCAGCTGATCTTTCCTTGCCTTTGGTTTAACACAGAGTTGTGCTTGAATTGAGTTTGCCCAGGAGAGATTTTACAAATGGGAATCCTTACCATGTGTCTAGGTCTTTTCCATTGGTTGGATTACAATGTAATATTTATGAAACATGGCTGGCTCCTACCTCCAGTGAAATATCAAACTGTGATATGGAGAAAAGGGGGGAAAATTACTTATAACCAGCAGAGGAAAATACAGAGTGGGTTTTTATGTGAAATATACCTAATTGTGTTATTTATTGTCATAAACATTGAATAAGGCACTCCAGAGAGCCAAGATTACTAATGCAATAATTTTGGTTCTGTTTTTCTTAGTGTGCAATTATAGTCAGCAATCACCAGAGTAAATCTGCTTAAATATTTGAAACCCTTCTGCTGGGATTGTTGTTTGAGTTTGCGTCTATCTAGGTGAGGTACTAAGCAGACATTTTAAAACAAGAGTAATAGTTTATAGGGCTTTGTTTTGTTTTGTTTTTTAACTCTGGTAAAATGAAACAGATACATTGGTATAACAAAAAACAAATCCTATTGCTAGTTTACATATTTCTCTGCACATTAGGACCATACCAGTGATGTCTATTTTTTTCATTGTTAATTCCCCAGATACAACAGATGATTGCAAAATATGTAGTGATTAGCAGTGCAAAGATTCAGTGTGTGCTCTGAAATATAAGATTACTTTCCCAAATAGGATTGCGGCAACATAATTTTCTTTACTGTGATCTTTTGTGTCTGAGCTGAACATCAGGGTTTTTATTTTTGCTTTTTGGTCAGAAAAGAATGCGGCGAACAATCGGGAAATCGTCATTAAGTATTCATAAACCTTCCTTGCCATCACAAATAATTGTTTCCTCTGACTTTTTTTACATCTCTGTCCCTTTGACACTGACTGGAATGGAGGATTCTGTCCTCCCGTTCCCCTGCAGTCAGGCTCGCAGTGTTGTGCCTGGAAAACAATACACATAAGAATGGCTTTAGTCACGTAGGGAGTTTGCCAGGGTTCACCGCTATTCACAGATGCTCAGCGAGGCTAACTGAAGTTGCAGAAATAGTTAAAAGACCATATAATTTATGCTAAAATGTGTACTTTATTAAATTGGTAAATATTTATTAATAATATAAGAATCTGCCTTTAAATTAAACATCTGATGAATTACCTTGCCTTAAAGCCATAAAACTGTTATTGCTGCTATAAAAAAGTGTAAAGGAGGCATTTTGACTATGAAATTTCATTTCATGGTCAATTGAATTTACTATATTGGAAAGAACTAAAGATGGAATCATAAAATAATTATGATGTTCACATACACTTAGAGAACAATGCTTTCACGGGCTGGCGTTGAGAGAGGACTCAATTTTTAATGCTTCTCTTGTAATGTATTGCTAATCACTAAAGCAGTTGAATTATTTCATTGATTCTTAAAAGTATAGGTACTTTAGCTAAGTGCAAGCTGTTGTCATGGTATTTACATGAGCTTCATCACATTTGTTGGTGCCTTTTTGAAGTTTTGCTGAACCAGAAGGCTATTTATTTTGGCTTGAAACAAACTAATCTTGTTGAAAATTCTAGTAGAATTTCACCTTGAAGAAACGTCATGGGATTTTAAATCACAAATGTGGGAAAAAATAAAATGTACTAGGACAGAATTATGATGAGTACAATGTGTCGTTGGCTTTGTTCTGTGTACTACCTGACATGTTCACCTATAAACTTGAATTCAGAATCGCCAGAGGCATGGTTAAAAATAGGTTATGTCAAGGTTCTTGTATATCTCCCTCCGGGTACCAAGTTGGCTGGCTACATCCTAATACTCCACAGCAACCTCCTTGGAGATTTCCCTTAGGAAGGTCACCAGAAAAATAATAAATAATACTTTATACATCATGCATTTGTCTTCCCAGTGTGCATTGGCTATTTCAGACCTTATGCAAGCCAGAAGTTTTATTATCCAAGTGAATATGGCTGTCGGTTAAACATTGCTATGGTGAATTAGGACTATCGTATAAGCAGAAAAGCCAGCTTGTTTATGTTGTATTGAACTAGCTTTTCTTCAGAGCCTCGTTGGTTTTCCTTTAGAAAGAGTGACAGTTTGTCACATTACTGATTAGCGGCATTATTGCTGACAACATGCACAACATGTTTATCTTCCTTAAACTCATGCCATTATATTGAAAAACAGAAAGCAAGAACAAAAACAGAGGGGGATTACAATGAGTCCAATGATTAGCATTCATATTTTCAAATATGCAAATAAACGCCCTGGTATTCAAAAGCGAATTGCTGGGGGAAAAAAAGGAATGTTGACTTCAAAGCACAACCCTGATTTGCTTGTTGTGGGTACGTATATTTTAAAACAGGATGTGGTTGGCTAAAGTCGAAATCAACAGTGTATTTTGGTTAAAAATCTGTTACCTCTAAGCATTATCGTCAGTTCAGATGATCATCTGGAAATTATTTTAATCTACAAAAGATTGCAATTCTAAAAATCTACAACGTGTGCTCCAAAGGGCTCTTTTTTTTTTTTTTTTTTTTTTAAACACCTCTCTATAATCTGCCCAGCCTGCTGAGTAGCATTGACATCAGTAGTACATCAATTTCAGAAAGTGGATTATTTTTACTAGACAGCTATTGTGACATATTGGGTCAGTCATAAATGAAAGATATTCATGCAAGCATGCAATACTTGTAATGAAGTCTCACTCTGACCTTCTGTATGATTGATTCTGTAATTTAGTTTTCTCAGGCAGTGCTGAAATGAAATGAAATCATGTTGAACAAGTTTTGAATACCCACAGTGCACCAGGAGAAGAAAAATCTGCAGCCCTAGAGGCTAGAAAGAGAGCAGCTGAACGATTTATCTCGATGCTATTATAGCCTTTGCCAGCATTCAACATTTCTTTCTTTCTTTCTTTTTTTTTTTCCTTATTTGGCTTAAGTACTTAATTCTGCAGGTAGCTGTAAATGGGAAAATAAAATGCTGTTCAGATTTAAAATGACAGGACAGGAGTATGTGCAGGGGACTGATAAAATATCTTGAATAGAACTGACCTTTCATGTAGCTGAAAGTTACTGGGGGATTCATCCTCATAATTACCATATAGATTATTTTTATTTCTTCCCTGCAATGAAACATTTCAGAGAGCAGTAGAGCTGATTGAATGAAAATTGAACTTGTTAACATTCTTTTCAGCTTAGCCTGTTGTACATAACAGAAGGTTGGCTTTGATGAATTTCAAAATTCTCTTTGATATCTAAGAAACAGACAGTAAAATAATTGTCTCTAGTCTGATGTTCTGTATGCCCCCCAAAAGAGAATTTATAAAACGCACTGATAATTCACACACGTTTTCCTCCATACATTATGTTTCATGTTCAGGGGAGTGACACATTCTGTTTGCTATTGCTTGGGTTTTAATTGTGATGGCGCGTATTTATAGAAAATGCTACATTGGTGCTCATGTAATATCAAACATAGTCATAGAAAATTGAAAGGGATGGTAGTAAGGGAGGTATATTTGAGTACTGTAGTTTCCCTACCTATTAAAGAAAGATAGAAAGAGAGGAAAAGAGGTCCTACATAAGACACGCATGCAGAGAAAAAAAAAAATGAGCTTCTAAAATATTCCTAAGACTCTTAAATCATAATCTGGACAGATATCATTTTTGATCAGAAAAACAGGAATTTATTAAAATAGCACATCCAAAATTACCAGGCATATTTTAAGAGTTTTACAGTCATTTGTTATGGCTCTAATTTTGAAGTTGAATTATTTTTGTTTTAACAAAATGCCTTTCATGTCATTTTTATACTTAAAAAAAAAAATCTTACATTAAGAGAAATAGCAGACTTTCAATTAATACATTGTTTTAGCAATGTTGTTTAATGTGTTACAGATAAAACAGTTATTTCATGGGTCATTAATGTGTTTAATGCGTGGAACATTCTATTAAAACAAGCCCTTATTATTGTTATGAACATGTTCATTGCCATTGTCAATAGAAGCTGCAGAGCTAAATCCTACAGGATGATTACCATTTAGTCATTGGGGAAGACTAGCAATTTCTCATAAAAATTGAGTGATCATTTCAGTAATGTTTACTTTTGGTCATGAAATCGTCAAAAAGCATTTTTATTATAAGTGAATGTTACAGAAGAATCGACTTCTGTGAGCAGAATACTCGTTTTGAATGGAGTAGGATCAATTTGTTCAAGTGTAAATTACAAAACTGAAACCGTATTAACCTTTAGCAAGTATTTATTGAGCACCTACTATGTGCTAGCTATTGTTCTTTAATAGTTAGAGACTGATCATACTCTATGAAATTGTTCTCTGGATTTCTAGCATCTTCTCCATCTAGTACTAAAGTTCGGTTAGATGGCTGCTTCAAAGACGCCTGTTGTCAAACGGCAACTTTAATTTAGCTGTTCCTACACCTTGACAGGAGCCCTGATGGCACAGTGGTTAACAGCTCAACTGCTAACCAAAAGGTGGGCAGTTCAAATCCACCAGCTGCTCCTTGGAAACCCTATGGG